GTCGAGCTCCGAAACTCGGACGCGCCTGCGGCGCCGGGGAACTCGCGTTTCTCCGGAAGTGGAGCGGCTGTTTTGGGGGTTGCGCGCTGCGTCTCTTTGCGAGCTGCGCGAGTTCGAGCCGTCGGAGAAGCTCGGGGGCGCGCGAGCGATCGACTCGATGGGCGGGTTCGAACGACTGGCGCGCTCGCTGTCGATCGCTCGCTCGGGCTGCGCGCTGGGATGCGTGGACGACAGTGCGGCTGCGAAGCCTTCCGCGCGCGCTCGCCGCCGCCCAAGATCGCCGCGGGTGCTTCTGAGAGCGTTTTTACGTCGCCGGACGCCAACATGGGGTCTGACGTCGCTCTCGCCTGCGGCACGACGCCGTCTTAGGGTTCGCCGATTGATCCACGACGCTGCGCAGAGCGACTCAGAGCGACTCTGGCGCGTGTTTCGAGTGTTCCACGAGTTTCCACAGATCTTTTTGAAGCGTTTCGGAAATATGCGTGGGATTCGTCCGAATGGGGTCTGACGTCGCTCTCGCCTGCGGCACGACGCCGTCTTAGGGTTCGCCGATTGATCCACGACGCTTGGAAGTTCGATACTCGACGCATGTTTCGAGTGTTCCACGAGTTTCCACAGATCTTGTGACGCGGAAATATGCGTGGGGTTCGTCCAAATGCGTCCGCGTCTTCGGCGGAGTCCCTGGCCTCGAGGGCCTCGCTCCGCGACCGGTTCCCGCAAACGTCCGAGGAGCGCCTGGATCTGTCCCGCGGCGCCTGGCGGTAGATTTCCGACGGTCCGTCTTCCGGACGTTCCGGAACTCGCCACGGCGTGGAAACTCCCAGCGCGCCATGCCTGCGGCGGCACGCTCGAACTCCAGAGACACTTCTGCCTGCGGCGCGAACTCGCGACTTTTGTAGCAAGCTCGCGACTGTCGAAACTCGCGATTTTGGTAGCAAGCTCGCCACGACGAAACTCACAACTTGGTAGCAAGCTCACGACTTGGTAGCAAGCTCGCGACGGGGCGCCTGCGGCGCTCAAACTCGCCACGGGGCGCCTGCGGCGCTGAAACTCGCCACGGGGCGCCTGCGGCGCTCAAACTCGGATACCGGCCGCCGTCCCAAACTCGCCGGTTTTGGGGCAGTGAAAAACTCGCCACGGCGCTCAAACTCGGGCGGCCTGCGGCCGAAAACTCGGACCTTTGCAATGCTGTTGTTCGACGCCGCCGAGGAGTGTCGCCGGTGGAGGGACTGTCCTGTTTTCCCGGTTGTGCTCTTCTGGCGATCGGCTCGGTCTTGAAGTTTTTCCGGTGTCCCAAGACCACGTCGACGAGCGGCGCGAGCACGACGCCGAGGAGGTTCTTCGAGACGACCATCATCGCGACGCAGGTCTCCACGACCACGCTCCGCGAAGGGCTCCGGACCGCGTCCGGGAAGAGCGGCGACGAGCGCCCGACCGTCCCTCGGGCGCCGGCCCTGCCCCGCGGCGCCGGGCAACAGCCGCCCGAATTCCGTCGACCCCACCGTAAAAACGCCACTTTCGCTCACCGCGCCGCCAAAATTTCTCCGCGCGAGCGCGGACGAGGCCGCTGCGCGGCCGAGAAACTCGCGACGCTCCCAAACTCGGGCTCGCTCCGCTCGCCCGGAAACTCGCGACGTCGGGAAAACTCGGGGCCTGCGGCCAAACTCGCGACGGGGAAACTCGTATACCGGCCGCCGTCCCAAACTCGGTTTTGGGGAACTCCCCGGCCAAAAAACTCGGACGATGATGCCCTCAAGGTGCCCTGTGCGTGCGTGAGCGAGTGGCTCTGGGTGGCCCACAAAAGAGCGCGGCGTCCCTACGAATTCGGCGCGGCGCGGGGGCGCGGGGCGCGGGCGTCGAGGGCTTGCGGCGGTCCCGGGCCGCGGCCGCGGCGGGGGGCGAGGTCCCCGAAGGCCCCGGAAGCCCTCGGTGGCCGGCGCGGCGTCGCGCTCGCGTCTCGCGAGCGCTGCGGAAGGGGCGCTTTCCTCGCTCGCCAGCTCGCGCCCTCGGCTCGCGTGCGTCGCGGGACCCGCGGAAGCCCTCGACGGGACCACGGCGACGTCCTCGGACTCCGCGCCGCGCGCGAGGCGAGGG